CAACTCCTCCCAAATTGGTTTCTTTGTCTAAAAAGTATAAAAGCTGCCTGCTTTGGCGGCTTCTTAGGTCCCATTCCCATGAGACCTCCATGTGCAGGAATTAAAATGTGTTTCTTTTTCTCCTGTTAACTGGTCTTGTTCAACTTTATTATTGGTCCAGCCACAAGAACTCACGAGGGGAGAGGGGAAAATTTCCTCCTCCTTGACATTATTTCCTCCTCCTCTTATCTATGACAGCAAAACAAACCATCCCAAGTCTTACTGACTTAAAGCAACAATTTCCTATTTCTTGTGGTGCAGTGGGTGCCCTGACAGCTCGTTGTCTCTTTCTGCCTGAGGTTGGACATGGCCATTTGACAGCAGCTAGGGGTCCAACAGTCTTGGTTCCAAGTCCAGCCTTGGGTGGGATGGCCGAAGGCCAGGGCTCTCTCTCACGTGACATTTATTCTGGGCTCTGCCTTGCACAATGACCTCCCGTTCCAAGGAAGTGAGGACAGAACCACAGGCTGCTTGAGGCCACCAAGCCGTGGGCCAGCCCAGGTTCCAGGGTGGAGAAACAGACTTGGCCTCCTCATGGAGCAGCTCTGCATGAACTTGACACACAGAAAGCCTTGACTATGGTGATTGCCCCACTGTGGTATGCAGACGAGCTGTGGCTCGCAGGGGCTCTGTCACCTCAAAACAGACGACAACTCCTCCAGCTTGCCACCCTTTCAAGGCCCTCACCACCTCCCCTCCCCCCTCCTTGCTGCTAGGAAACTGTCAGGTCACCTGTGCAGACAGCACCCATTAACTGTCTGGGGTACCAGCCCACCCCCAAGACATCTGCACGTTCCTCCAGCTGCACATTGAATCAGAAAAACAAAATCAAGTGCTGCAGTGGCCCCCGCCCTGTGGATATGCCCGGTGGTCCTGAACTAAAACTAGTGTCTGTCACAGGGGGCTTACTCTGGGCTGATCTCAGAAGAGGCTGGCAGGTGTGGGTGAGTGCTGTTAAGAGGTATATATCAATAATTCACATGTTTTCATTTTCAGCCCCTGGGTGCGTGGGGGGGGGCCTCCACGTGTGAGGACTCAGCCCATCCATGGGCTCTCTGGGGCCACCTGTGGCCAGTTTGTTGTCCTGGAGAGAAAGACCCAGACTTATAGCCTCAGTGCCACGTGCTCTGCTCTGGGATCAGTCCGCACAAAGATCGACAGCAGATTCAAACGTGGCTGTGCCACCTCCGGGCTGTGTGTGGCTCTGAAAAGTTTGCTTAACCACGGGGTGCCTCAGTTTCCCTGCCGCTGAGGTGGGGATAATGGCCATACTGTGTTGGTTAGGACTAGGTTCTGCTATAAGTATAAAAAAACTCCAAATAATAGGGCTTCAATCACATAGAAGTGTTTTTTTCTTTTTTTATAAATTTATTTTATTTATTTATTTTTGGCTGTGTTGGGTCTTCGTTGCTGCGCGCGGGCTTTCTCTAGTTGTGGCGAGCGGGGGCTACTCTTCGTTGCGGTGCGCAGGCTTTTCACTGTGGTGGCTTCTCTTGTTGCAGAGCACGGGCTCTAGGCGCATGGGCTTCAGTAGTGATGGCACGTATGCTCAGTAGTTGTGGCTCGCGGGCTCCAGAGCAGAGGCTCAGTAGTTGTGGCGCACGGGCTTATTTGCTCCGTGGCATGTGGGACCTTCCGGGACCAGGGATCGAACCCGTGTCCCCTGCATTGGCAGGCGGACTCTTAACCACTGCGCCACCAGGGAAGCCCGATTACATAGAATTTTATTTCTCTTCTTGTGGACAGGAGGTCTAGCTGTCGTGGGGTGCCCCCAAGTGTCAGGGACCCAGCTGGGTCCAGCTCACGCCCCCCCCCCAACAGCCCTGGGGGTCGTATGCCAGGAAGGGAGGTAAAGAAGGGCACACATCTGTCTCTTAAGGGCAAAACTGATACCCACTGGGTCACACCTATTGGCAAGGAGGCTGAGAAGTGTAGACTTTACTCTGGGCCTAGAGGCTGGCAATGAGGAGTCGGCCACGCGTGGCCCTGGAAGGTATCTCCAGAGTGCCTGGTGCAGGAGTGCTCAACAAGCATCAGGTGCTGTTCACATCCAGCCCTGCCTCTCCTTCACAGATGAGGAAACCGAGTCCCAGAGAGGGAGCAGGGGTCGTTCAAGGTCACTCACCTACACGATGAGTGTGGCCCCCTGACTCCCAGGCCTGCTCCTTTGCCGCGGAGAAGTCCTCCCCCAGCACGGTGCCTCCCTCTGCATCTCCACGTTCCTGGCCTTTCAGGCCAGAAGAGTCTAGAAGGCTCACTGCAAAGAGGCAAGTGTATGTAGACCTATTATTTACTAGTCTCTCCAGTGTAACTGCATCGTTGCTGCAGTGAAATCAGAGCAAAGCACCAACACTGAGATCTCTCGGATCAACTCAGTCACCCAAACTGGGGGACTGGACCTCTCAGCCTGCTGGGAGAGGGCCTGGACCAGAGGGTGGGCGAGGTGGGCTATGGGGAGAGTGACAGCTATCAGACCCTGTCGGCTAATTCTCCGGACAGGCCACATCTTCTGGAGAAGCAGACGGATCGCAGATTTCTCATGCCAGGGCAGAACTGATAAAAGAGGCTGTCTCTAACTTTATCAGTGGTGTCAAAATGGCTAAAGAAAGAATGTGAGCCCTGCCTCTGAGATGGGGTGGAGGCAGGGCAGGGACTGGGGCCCGGGCTGGGGGCTGCACAGTCTCAGGACAAAATTAGAAAATACAGCGAACAGGGGCCTGGATCCACCCTGACCATGCGCTGCACACCTGGCCAGCCCGGTGAGGCCACTCTGTCCCCACCCTCCCATCCCCCACTCCCCACCCACTCCAGCGAGGCTGAGGCTCCGGTGGGATGGAGCTTCAGGCGAAGCTGGGGTGATAATTCAAAGAACATCTCCTGCCAACCCAGAAAACCTCTCCACCAAAGTCACAAGAAAGAAGACAGATGCGTTACTGGATAAGCTCGAAGCCAGGACTCTGCTCATCACAGAGATGGCAGAGCAGGAAGTAGTCTCGCCCCTTTCATGCCAGTTCAACCCATCTGTCCTCGTCCTCAAGAGAAACAGAAACCAGTCCTGAGTGAGAGGCCTGGCAGCACTGTCTGTCACACAGCTCACCCGCCGCCCACCCCGCCCTGCCCCACTGGGACTGAGGGGGCCACCTACGTTTGCTAACTGCCTTTATCTGGAGGAAGAGCACACTTCTCATCTCTTTACAACTGGAAGCAAGCTTGCAAGCCGGGCCATGGAAATCAGGCTCCTACCACACAGGGCATCTGGGCGAGGGGGGTGCAACCTCTCTCCAGAGAGATGCCCCCAGGTTCTTGGGAGACGGTCCAGCGTTGTCAAACTGGCAAGAGGCTGATTTAGCTTTTAAACAGATTTACACACACACACACACACACACACACACACACACACACACACACACA